TAAGTAACTTAACCTCAATTGCCTCTCCCACAAAATTAAATAAAAATAAAAATGTACTGAATTCACAATTACAGGAAGTCATTAGGTTGCTTGACCACCTGCTGTTATTATAGAATGGTTTGGTTAAATATAGTCTGGCTTAGATAACTTATAAGGTCTAGGTCTCCATCAATATTATCTTCTCTTATGGTAGTCCCTTTCAACTCTGAGGTTCTATAATTCTGTGACTTGATAATTACAAAAATTCCTGCATAAGGTTTGGCCATTGTGAAATTGGGTAAAGACAGCTCAACACTATTTTCACTGCAAACAGAAAGTGGGTATTTTATTCTATGAGTAAGTGTACACAAAGGAGTTATGACTAAAATTTTATTTCAAGAAGTACAAATATGCCATATTTTCATAATTTAAAACTTTATTTTTTGTCTTCTCATAATCAGAACACCACTAGAAACTTACAGGCACAGATAATTTGTAGCTACAATCTGAGTTAAATATAATAGATGATAAAATTACAACAATAAATACATCTGAAAGATAAATATATAAGATTGGTTTCCCAGGTACATGAGTCATGTTCTTTGAATACCAATTCATACAATGTCTCTATGAAGTATTGCATTCCATTGCAGATCTTTGAGGTTTTACATGTGTTCTGGTGATCATTTTCAGAGAATATGTGTCCATTTCAAAATAAATCAAATGGAACAAAGCAATGTGGTTTTTTTCCCCTTGCCTTGTTTGTTCCACAAAATAGATATTTATTTCAGACAAGTATTTTATTAGCTTACAGGTAAGATATACATTATTAACCTTCAATGACTACCAGGATATACAATACATACTTAGAATGAATAAGAATATTGCTTTTGTACTATTCATGCTTTAATTCATGCAAGCCTTGGACGTAAAAAATTACTTATCATATTATGGGAGAGAAATCAATAGCTGAGCAAAGTAAATGATTCTTGAAACCACTTCACTTTATTCTCAACATTTGTTTCTAATAACTCACACTAGACTGTTTTCAGTATCCCAGCACTATGCAAGGCTGTATCTCACCGTAGTTGTATCTGTACAGAATTCCTATCAAATGTTTCGGTTAAAAAAAAAATTGTTCGTTTGTGGATAGACTCCTTGCCCACTAAACATCTTTAATTTCATGGTTTTTCCTCTTTTGGAAACTGAGAATATTGTACAGTGTGGTAGACCAGCTTAGGCATTAGATTATATAGTCATGGCTTCTCTTTACCAAAAACAAAACAAAATTAGTATTATATGTGTATACATATATGTGTGTGTATAAAATATCTGAAAGAAAAAAAGTTTTATCAGACCTTATCAGTCAAGCACACTCAGAGCCTGGGGTAAGTGATGGGAGATTGGTCTATTAAGTTTGGAATTTTTAGGGGCAGCTAGGTGGCGCAGTGGATAGAGTACCAGCCCTGAAGTCAGAAGGACCTGAGTTCAAATCCACCCTCAGACCAAACACTTGACACTTACTAGCTGTGTGACCCTGAGCAAGTCACTTAACCCCAATTGCCTAAAAAAAAAAAAAAAAAGAATAAGTTTGGAATTTTTAGTAGGACTGAATCATTGAATTTCATTTTTCAGTGTCTGTTTCTCCATAATCTTATGATCTATGTATAGTAAAGTTGTTCTGTCATTTCATTGACTACCAAATCCATCAACTCCATCTGAATTCCACCATTCAAATATTTTATAGTTATATGTAACTACAACTTGTATGCTTTACAAACCACTTTTTACAATTATTGTTAGCTTCAATACATCTCCAAAGGTCTTATGCGTTCTATAGATTATCTAGATCAGGAGTTCGTTGTTTGTTTTAAAACTCAGTCTCCCTATCATGCCCAGGCTAAAAGTGCAGAGAATACCCACAAGGCCAACCCCACTCTACTCAGCATGGGAGTTTTTACTTGCTCCGTTTCAGAAGTGGGCTGGCTTATTCCTTACATAATCTGGTCCCCCTCCCAACCTGGGAGCTTACCATATCACTTAGTGTGCGCAGTAGATCAGGTTATCCCACTGTTGATCAGAAATCCAAAGCTCAAGAGATCAGCCAGCTCCAACCTCCCTAGTTGCAGGAATTATAGATATGTGCCACCATATCTGGCTATCAGGCATTCTTAACACGTTTTTGGGTCATGGAATCTTTCCAGTGTCTGGCGAAATCTATGCACTCGTCAGAATGTTTTTAAATGTCTAAAACATGAAGATCACTATGGAAGCCAATTATATTGAAATACAGTTATCAAATTGTGAAGTACACACAAGTTCATGGACCCTGGGTCAAGAAGCTCTGATTTAGATAATATCAGAAACCTCACAGCTCAGTAGTAGGAGGATTATGCATTCATATCACTTAAACCTTAGCTACGGTTTTTAAAATTGATTATTACTTTTCAAAGGTCTTCTTAGAAACCTTACTGAATGATATAAAATGGTACAAAATGTTTCCTCAATTTTATTAGTAAGTTAATATTTAGATGATCTTTTGGCTGATGAAACACTATATTTCATATTAATCTGTAAATGGAGTATCAATGGATGGATAGAAAAAAGTTGATATTGCTAGCCAAATATATGCTTTTGATTTAAAAAAGCTAATGGAAAATCCTTGCTCAAGAGCAGCATGTGTGGAAAAGTCTTAAAGGTTTTGAAAATATTTTGAAAGATTTCACTTTTGAATATTTACTCAATGTCTATTGAGTAGATTTATAGAGAAATTTAAAACTTACATATTTCTATATCTTATTATCTTTATCTTCCCTTTCCCTAAAACCTTCCTTGAGTTATATATAACATGTGAGAAGTTTTAAATGCCCTCCAAAATGAGTAATTGAAGGGAGACAAATAAGGGCCCTAGTAATCCACAAACTAGAAAGATCACTGCAGATAGACTACATATGTTCAACCACTTAAAACTGTGTTCATCATTATCAAAAGGCCCACAGGGCCATCCTTACTTACTTACATCCTTACACATTGCAATTTGACAAATCCCAGACCTGCCGGTTGAGAAAAAAATCTCCCTCACTGGTCCTCAATAAATCCACCATCTATTCCCTCCTTGCCAAAAATTCCCACCCTAGGCACTGTTCTGGTTTAAGTGAGAGAACCAGGGAATATTCTTTAGGAAGTCATTATAAAGCTATGGACTAGTTCCCTCTTAAGAACACACTATCACACATATTAAATGTTTAATAAATGTAGTGTTGTTGAATTAAATTAATCCAGATTTACTAATCATTACTAAAGGCATATGAGAAACATTTGGGTAATGTTTAGGGAGGTCAGGATTAAAAAACATTGATGTGGCGAAAGTGATTCCCTAGTCAGCTAGGGAGAGAACCTGGGAGTATCAGATAACCTGGAAAGTATCATTCTAAGGAAGGATAGGGAAGCCAGGAACAAAAAGGACAGAAGACAAACCTTGCCTCCTTTGGAATTTTGCCAGGGGCTAATCAGCAAGATTCTCATTTGTCTTTTTTGGGAGGACTCCTGGCACTTCATTTTCTTACTTGCCAACTATACACATAGTAAATATTTTTGAGAGGGAGATTTGAAATTTTAGTCTAGCATCCATTTAACTGTACTGAAATTAAAAGGAGCATTAATAGGTTCTTCTGAATGGGAATTTTCAGGGAGAATGTCCAAATAAATATAGTGATGATGACAGAATCAGGATTGAGTGTCTTCAGGCTAGAACAGAAAATATTAATTGCAATCCCTACTACCCCATTAGCACTTTTGAGGAAATAGCAATATCTATAATTGAGTTTGGAGAGTGGAAGATGCTCAGGAAATCATTTGAAGAATGTGACAAATGTTTCTAAAGTGAATACTACAATTGACAAATTTTAGAAAGCATTTGTAATGGAATATGCTAGCTAATTTACTGTCAAATGACTGTTTTCCAGTAATACACTTTTGAGATACCTTTTGCCAAAAACAGAGTGAACAATTTTTTTTTAAAATTTCAAAGCATTTTGAAAAATAATTGTGCTTTTTTATCTTGGATAATTTTTATGCTTTTGTCATTTAACAGTATATAGAGATCTTGATGTGAAGCATTTTTAAAAGTTCCTTTAAACTTTTTAACCTCAAGAAAAATTATTATAGGTCAAACTAAGGAATTTTTAGTTTTTTTTTCAATCCTTGAACTGAATTCAAACACAAAAGGAAATGAGATTACAATTCATACATATATTAGAACACTCTGATAATAAAACCAAGAAACCTCATAAAAGTGTTTATCACTAAATATTGAATCTAAAAAGACTTGACAAATAGGAATATCCAATTAAAGAAAAACATCATCACTGGCTATTAAAACTCACAACAATGCATTTAGCCAGTCTCAAGCTAGAGAGGCATTCATGTGAAAATGAGAATCAAGCACCTTTTGGAGGGGGATGGTTAGTGTATACCATTCTTATTCATTAAATGACGCAGTATCATGCTTCTTTCTTCACTCCAAACCCTGCCATGAAAATGAGGGCTCCATATGCTGCACTGAAAGAAATGCCTGTGCTATATGTGGCAAGCTTGAAATAAATAGATGTTACCTTGGTTTGACATATATTTTAGATATTTATATCAATTTATGTAATCAACATTTCTATTTTTAATCTTCAGATTTTGAGAACCATTACTCTAATTTTAAATAGTCCTATATATATTTGACAGTTCTTAGAGCATGTAATTCATTAGCTAGAGTATTTAACCTTTTTGGCTTTGTTTTATTTCCTGACAGAATTTGTGGTCTTGTAGCGTGACTAGTTGTGATTTATGAATTTACCCTCTTTGTGAAAAGGAATATATATTTCTGTTAAAGCAAACATCTTTAGTCAATGGGCGTCTTATCTTTAATCACTGAATATTCTTATCTTTAAGTTTAACATAGACATCAGTGAGGATGGGGGAGGGGCATATAGAAACAAGAAATATGGACTTGCTTAACACAGGCAGGGCTTTCACATGACCACACATTTACCCTTCAGCTTCTCTTTCCTTTTCTGCTGCTTACTCTTTTTTCCGTCAATCTGAAGACTCACAGTCCTGCGCTTCTCCAGGTTTAGTAGCTCTTGGAAGAGTTCTTTGACATTATGATTCATCTTAGCTGAGGTCTCCATAAAGGCACACTTCCATTTCTTTGCCAAAGCTTCACCCTCACTGCTCTCCACCTCTCGGTTTGGACTCTCATCATTCTTGTTCCCCACTAGCATGATTGGAATGCTTTCCACATCTCCTTTGATCTGACAAATCTGTTCATAGATGGGTTTGAGTTCTTCCAAAGACTGTTGGCTTGTGATAGAATAAACCAAGATAAAGGCATGACCTTTGGAAATTGAGAGGCGTTGCATTGCTGGGAACTGATGGCTACCTGTTGTGTCTGTGATCTGCAAAGTGCAGATACTCTTATCACAGCTGATCACCTGACGATAGGTATCTTCAACAGTGGGGATATAGCTCTCTCGGAAAGTGCCTTTCACAAACCTCAAGACCAAGGAACTCTTGCCAACACCTCCTGCTCCAAACACCACTACTCTATAATCATTGCTTTGTTCAGGCATGTTGTCTGACAGCTTTAATGCTCAACGTGGAAAATACCTAAGGAATAAAAGATATATTAACACAGTTAATCAGATACTCCTGAGGAAAAATATTTATCCATTTCTGAAAATGCAGACAATTAAGTAGATTTATTAAATGTAGTGAACTCTTCATTCTAATAGGCTTATCCAAAGATGGCTTGGCAGGTCCAACCTTAATTTCATTTTTGTTGTTGTTGTTGTTTTCAGGACCTGATGACAGTGCAACCAAGAGGGGTAAAAACAAGCAGCAACTATATCCTTGATGGTTGCTTGGTCTGAGACATGAAATTCTATTACCCTATTTAAGAACCTCAGGTTATAACTTCAAGAGCTTCTGGGTTTGAATCTTGGGATTCGAACTTTCTCCTAATCCTTCTTTGGGAAGAGATTTCTAATTTAGGTGGCACAAGGTAACCTAAGGCACAGGATTTCATAACAGTAGCATGACAAATTGTTATCTTTCCTGCTTAGAGAACAGCCGTGACGAAGGAAAGGCAATGTGACACAGAAGAAGGAAAATGACGTCAGAGTCAGAAGATCTTAGTTCGAATCCCTGCTCTGCTATTTATCACTGATGTCTTGCAGTACAGGGATCTGATAAACTGTTCTGCATTTTTCAAAATCACATTACCAAATGACATTTGATTTGAAAATTGTTTTGAAGATGCTTTCATTTTCTCTTGATATTCTCAGAATTCTCCTAAGGTTTTTTGAAAGGGAACAAAACAAAATGGTTTCTGACTGAACATACAAAACAGCAACAGAGAAGATGAAGAAAATAAAGGGCTAGTAAGTAACATACACAAAATATAGCCAGAAAAATCACATTATACAGATGTCCAATTTAATAGCATCATATAAAACGTCATGGCACATATGGGAAAGATTTAGAAGTTAGGCTTCCACAGCAGAACACAGAAATTCTGAGGGGGACTTCCAAGATCTTGTGGGTAGTCCTTCAGCCAATCAGAAAATGCCCCAAGGGGGTAGCTAGATAGGACAGTGGATAGAACACTGGCCCTGGATTCAGGAAGACCTGAGTTCAAATCTGGCCTCAGACACTTGACACTTACTATGTGACCCTGGGCAAGTCACTTCACCCCATTGCCTCATTAAAAAAAAAAGTGCCCTGAACACTCTGCAAAACCACTACTTCCTTAAGATAGAGCCCTAGAGGCTAAACTAGTAACAACTGGTCAGGGTCAAGGACTGAGCAAAGGCTTTTCTCCACTGAGCTTGCTTAATGAGCTTATTGAATATTAACTGGCACACCTTGAGGGCAGAGATAGTTGCCATTTTTGAACATGGGACATATGACCAGAAGGGATAAACATGACAAGGAATAACATGGGATGGGTGGTTCAGAAAGAATGTAACCCAAATGAGCTGGTCCAATCCCTTAAATGGAAGGAGTATGGATTTCCCTAACCATTTAAAAGTTGACTCTGCTTCTGTACCGACGCATACGTGCTATACTAAGGTGCGGTGTGCCCGCTTCTCGCAAAAACCATAATAAAGGCTTTCCTTCACGCATTCCTGTAGCAGACTTTTGTTTCAGACTTTCTAACAGCATATGAATATGCCAAAGCCTCCCAATACCAATAATGCATCAGAAAAGATAAAGCTTCTTGAATTAAAAGGTTAAAGCCATATAATTTGAGATCTTTAATATGCCTTCACCAAAGGCATCCATGGAAATTCAAAATTAAGCATTAAAATATAAATTAAACATTATATAGTAAGCAAAATCTTTCCACTCTATATAAAAAGTATATTAACTATCTTGGAAATATCAAATTCTCTTGGATACAGAGGTGGTCTACAAGTCAAGAAGTCGTGCAACTCTAGAAGGCTATAAGTTGTAGAGAATTTTCTGATCTATACTGGTAGAGGAAGTTTCCTCCAATGAAATCACAACTCCAGTTAAAATTAAATTGGAATTGCATTCAGCATTCAGACCTGAGAATAGGAGCATTGTGGGCAAGACTAGAAGAGACTGTATGTTATACTAGATGGTTTGGGAAAGAATAAGCATCAATTAAGCAGATGGAAAGTCAGAGGACATGACCAGTCTCCTTATTAGCTATCTGATTTTTGACATTCTCTCCAAACTTTACCTGAGCTGGAACTGGGTAAGTCTGAACACAGACAATTTCAACCAAACCTGAACCAAAGTACTCAGGGTCTCATAAATAGCTAATGGAGCAAATAAAACTGTAAGTAATTGGGGGAAAGGGAATTAGGAAAACTTTTCTAAATTCCCCTCAAAGTATGCCAGAAACAAGTATTACAGAAACAGATCAAATGTTTCACTAAGCCAAAAATATTAATCAAATTAATGAGACTTATTGTATTTGTGTTAGGTTTTTGCACTGTGCCACCTAGCTGCCCCTTAAAATTAATTTAGCAAAGGTTTCCTTAGCTGCCTACCATCTGGGCTTTTGGCTTACTTTTCTCTCTAAAAATCTCAAATTGTCTCCTTTTGAGGCAAACAATGCAGAGGATTAGTTCTTTACTAGAGCTACTATGCCTCTCCCTCGGGTTCATAGAATAATAAAATATGAGAAACAGAAGAAACTTCAGCGGCCAATCAGTTTAACCCAAACACAAAAAGAATCCTCACTATATGAGCTTAGATTTTTGCTTCCTTTTTCTTTCCACGAAAAATCAGGAGAATAAAAAACATCCATGACTGTGAAAGGTACAAAGCCCATTGCATCTTTTTGATGTGTTTTTCTAATTTTTTCCTTTTTTTTTTCATTTGATAGAACTCACTTTTCTCTCTTCCTTTCCTCCAGTCTCTGTTGAAATAGTGGTCCCCTTGCCAAGGCCTAACCCTTTAGATGCAAACTTCATCCTATCCTTTCTGCAGATTGCTCCCTTAATTAACATCCCTTTCTCTATTTTTTAATCTCTCTCAATTGGTTCTTTCCCTACTTCCTTCAAAAATGGCAGGTTAAAAAACCTTCACCAGGCCCTATAAACCCCTCAAGCTATTGTACTATATCTCTCCTGCCTTTCTCAGTGAGTGAGCTGCTAGAAAAATTTATCTGTACAGTACTTATTCCCCCACCCACTTCCTCAGCTTTCCCATCTCATTTGAAGATGACTCACAGTTCTGTACACCCAACCCTAGTCTCTCCTGAGTTCCAGTCTCACATCACTAACTGCCTATTTGGTATTTTGATCTGGATATTCCAGAGATCTCAAACTGAAAAGGTTCAAAGCAGATCTTTTCTCCAAAACCCTTCCCCTTTTCCAAAATTTCCTATTTATGTCATTCTTCCAGTTGATAACCTGGGAATTATCCTTGACCCTTAACTCTCCCTCACCCCATATATTCATTCACTTGCCAAAACCTGCCATTTCTACACCTCCTTCAAAAGCATCCGTATCTGACTCCTTCTTTCTAGTCACACAGCTGTCACAGCTGGATTACCTCAGTGGCCTGCTAATTGAGCTCCCTTTCTCAAGTTTTTTTTTTCTCACTCTAATTCATTCCTACATAGCTGTCAATTATTTTCCTTAAGTGTGGATCTGACTATGTCATTCACCTATTCAAAAAACTGCAGTGATTGTCTATGGTTTCTAGGAAAAAAATACCCACTATGCTATTTGGTTTTTCAAGCCCTTCAAACCTGGCTCCAATCTGTCTTTCGAGTTTCCCTGCACGTTATTCCCCTCCAGAATCCATTACCAAAACAAAAAAAAAACTGAATATTTTAAATCTGGCCTAATCTTCTGTGCCAATCCCAATTTTAAGAAAATATATGCTTTTAATGAACCCATAGATAGAATGTTTTTCCTGGCCTGATGATTCATTTGGTAAAATGCAGCTGCTGTGGCTATAGATCAGCTAAAGAAGATTATAGCAGAAATACATTAGCAGCATGCTTCTTCCCTGCCCTAGGCTATACCCCAAACGAAGACTCCTTTGGACTTTCAAAGGCCTATTTACATCTGTGTCTCCCCTCCTCCCAATTTGTTAGAGGAAGAAAGCTTCTCTCTCTCTCTTTTCTCTCTAGTCATTGTTGATCGTTAAGTCAAACAAATCTACTTTAGAGGCTGAAAAATATATATTTCTCAAAAAAAATTAGAACCTTGTAAGTATGAGAGTAAATTTTTAAAATCTCATTGCCTTTGATGAAAACAAAGTCAGGCAAAATTCTTTTGCATACACATTTATCGGTATTGAGTGGCTTCAAAGAGTGTAAAACCATTCTGGGAAATATGTATTCTCCACAATCATTTAAATGTGTTAGCAAACACATAACTGTTCTTGTCAAGACAATGGCATTGTGGCATAACGTGATTTGCCCAGTTTACTCCCCCCAAATTCATACACCTGGATTGATGGAAGAAAAAGTAAAAAGAGAATGTGTTTTAGAAGGTAAAATGTAGAGAAAGCAGGATTAAGTGCCCAAACTGCCTACCTCCCTTACACTTTTCTAAAGACAAAACTGTTGTAACAATGATTCAAGAAGATGCAGCTCAAAGAGAATGACTAGTTGGGAGACAAAGCTCAGTGATTTGATTGGCAGATTCATCTATATACAAACACAGCCATAGATATAGATGCTTGAACATGAGGATGGCCCACATTGATGGCATAGATAAGGGGTGACTGACAACCAGAAGCCCTGACAACTAGAATGAGGGGAACAGGTAGCTTGGTTTGGTTGATATAGCAGCCTCTAGAGTTGGGTGGTGGTCATGACAAACAAAAGGGAAGTTGATAAGATTCCATTTCACTCTTTTTTTCTTTGTATAGAAAGAAGCAAGGGGGAAAGGTTGGAAGATATTGTGGATGGAAAAACACTAATAATCATAATTGTGACTATGAATTGGATTCATTTATTGATAAACTGGAAGAAGACAGGAGAATAGATTCAAAAGTAGACTCCAACAATATACAAGAAATATACTTGAAACATATAAATTCATACAGATTTAAAATGAGTGACTGAAGCAGAATTTAT